CGCCTTTACGACGACTGAACGACTATGCACTTCCTCGTTCGTCATTTTCCAACAAGGCCAATTCCATTGCTAGCAATCATGTCGAAAATACTAGAGAGAATAATACTCAGTAGATTGATGTCAATCATCTCGTCAAAAAAGCTCACGCCCTACCGCCAGCTTCGATTTCGTAACAAACATTCTACGAATTGTTAACACGTTGTCTGCCACGTTGGCCACCTGTGACCGGAGATTGTTTCCTCGATGGGGCCACGGTGGTCATCGGTGACCGGACTGCTTCAAATGTTCAGGATAATTCAAATAAAATGAATATCGTCGACTAAAAATTTCGAACATCATAGCTACCTAGACATTATTTTGAATTTTAAGCGTAATGTAATATTATGCTTAGAATAATGAAAATTTTCTTGTGGCCTCCTGAGAGCTACGGTTTGAAACAGAGTTATACTGTTCAGCCGTATTCCTAGATATTGAGAAGCTTTCGACAACGTCTGGCACCAAGGTCCACTGTATCAAATAGCAAACAACTTTCCTGCTCTATATTACTATCTCATCAAATCTTACTCGTCGAATAGAAAATTTGTAGTGAAAGTTCAGGACAGTTACTCCAGCCAATACTCAATAATTGCTGGTGTTCCGCAAGGCAGTGTCTTAGGACCTATACTTTACAACTTCTACACTGCTGATGTACCCACATCACAGCATACTTCTCTCTCAACTTTTGTCTATTTTAGCAATACACGATAACGGTAAATCTGCCTCTCAGCTTCTGCAGCAATCCCTGCTAATTCTACAAACCTGATTCTTAAAATGAATAATAAAAGTGAACGGGGAAAAATCTAGACACATTACCTTTACGTTATAGAAGCATACATCTCCTACTGTATCTCTGAATAACAAAATCGTATCCCAAGCTAGAGTTGTAAAATACCTGGGCATGTACCTAGATAATAAATTAACGTGGAAACACTACATCTGGGAAAAAAATAGAGCAGATTAAAATAAAAAGTAGAAACATGGGCTATTTAACGGGAAGAAACTCAAAACTGAACCCAACGAATGAACTTCTATTATACAAAACCATTATTAAACCCATCTGGACCTACTGAATCGAACTCTGGGGTGTAGCAGCCATGAGCAACATTAAACAAATAGAAGCTTTACTATCACTAATACTTCGCACGGTAGTTAAAGCTCCGTGGCACGTTAGAAACGAGGAACTTAGAAAAGATCAGTTGAAAATACAATAACATGTCTTGCTGAGAAATATAAAAAGAGATTAGAAGACCATCTATATCTACAATGATCTGATTAACTAGGATACTCGATAATTTACGAACAAATGTATTTAACTCTAAGGCATGGACTAATGGGAATACGCCTGCAAGCTATTATTCCAATTAGATGTACATATGTATCAATTTACCGAATGTTCTCGTGAACAAATTGTAAATTATCTGAAGGAAAATGAAAAATAAAAAAGTCATTTTCCAACAAATTTTCACGTTCGCGTCACACCCTGTGCCGATTGCCACCGACGAACTTTGCAATACCAGCTGACACTAACAAAAGACACTGCATCCGGTCATCTGACCTCAGATACGGCTCATGACCACTTTCACTACACTCACTGTCAGAATTGTAATCCAATTCGATCCAATCGGTCCTTCCTTGTCGTCCGACCTTTTCAACCACGTGTCGATTGTTTCGCATCACCTTTATCACGCGATATGGTCCTAAAAATTTTAGTGTCAATTTTAAACTTAATGCGAACCGTACTCGTTTCATCTACGAAATCATCTTCGTGATAGGTTGTAGCCTTCTTTCCTTTTCTTATTACTCGTTTCTTTCTCATTTCTTTCTGCTCCTCTTGGAACATTGCTGCCCATTCCTGTTCGAGTAGCTCTCGAATTTGTGGATCATCCTTCAATCGCATTCATCTCCCGATAGCCTTCTTTCCTTTTCTTATTACTCGTTTCTTTCTCATTTCTTTCTGCTCCTCTTGGAACATCGCTGCCCATTCCTGTTCGAGTAGCTCTCGAATTTGTGGATCATCCTTCAATCGCATTCATCTCCCGACAACAATTCGAACGGCGTTGCGTTTATGCTACGGCGAGGAGTAGAGCATTCGGAAATTTTTGTGGCGATGTAACATATCTATGCCTCTCTTCTGGCTTAGGTATGTGACGGACCGAGTGCGAGCATTTCAATGTGGCTTGATTCCGTGAATTCAACACTCTGAAAGCTAGGTAGGAAATTGATGGAGGATAGGCGGAAAAGGTTAGGGCGTTTCGTCCTGGACCTCCCTAGTGGACTCGTGAGTAAGGCTTTCTAGGAGGCCCGTGCCTTAGACGCGGGAGAGACTGGAAGGGCTCAGGTTAAAAGTTGTATGCATACAAACAGGAGCCTTTATGAAGACTAGCGAGAACTTGCGGTTAGTCTGTCGCTCTGATGGCAGAGCGTAGGAGGGTCCAACTCATACATTGGCAACGTATTTCAAGGTCATTGAAATCGGTGCTGGAGACCCTATTCCCAGTAATTATCAAAATTTACATCGTAAAACTAAATAAATCGTGACTCTATAAACATGTTTATAAGAGTACCACTATTCGGGGTCAAGATTGACCCGGCGTCCGCGGTACGCGTGAGTGTTGCAGAGACCACAGTTTCAGAGTTAAGAAATATTTCATAAACTCATCAAAGAGGAACTTGTCAGGGAAGCTTTCATTCCATATCTAAAGTATAATTACAATTTTGCACTCTCCGAACAATGTGAGCATTATACCCGTATATCACTTGCTATTCTTATAAATTCCGCAAATAGACACGTTGAAACGTTATCACACAAACGGGGTTAAAACTTCATTTTCATAATACTTTCTAAAATAAATGTCATGTACTCGTGTAATATTACTTTTTACTTTTTAGTAAATTCCAAATTAATATTTTTGCAATATTATTTGTACGTTATAGATAACAACAACGGATTTTCGATCAGATACTTTATACTTACTTGCTGAATTTTAGGGAAACTTTACATTTTAGAATTAACACTCAATCGTCCTATTAAAATAATTTACTTTCTTCTTCACAATTCAATTCAATGTATCGAATACGAAGTAGTACGTTCAGAATTCTGATGTAAATTGAAGGATGGAATATGTTACAAAATGGAGAAAAATGTTAATTTTCTTTAGTATTTCAGAGGTTTTCGCTTTTAACGGTTCCCAATTGTTTGAGGTACGATCTTCATTTCTCTTACAATGGATAATCGTGAGTTAGTGTTACGGCCTTGAAACAGCTGGAGAACGTATCTTTTCCATCATCTTTTATTTACGTTCTGTGTACATATGATGACATGCTGCTCGTTTGTGAGTATAGTATATACATCTAAATATAAAAATTTTAAAAATCAGTAAATAGTTACCGATACTAGCACTTTTTGTTATGTTTACTTTTCTTTACCAAGATTATAGTTTTGGACACAAAAAGTTGTGACTGTCAGTTTTTTTATAATAAAAAATAAATGACCTACATAATACGTAATCAATTATTAATATAGATAATCCTCTTCGTCTTGCAATTTGCAGAATCATTACTTTTAATTTTCACCTTTACATCGTGTTATGAAGAAAATGTTCTATAAAGTAGATTTTGGAAGAAAGTAGTAATGACAGAGTTTTATTAATTGCCAGCTTTTCTTTCCTCGTTTTTATAACGGTACACGTTCACAATAATTGTCATCAACATTATCTGGTTGATTATTTTTTTTTGTTCTACTTATCATAGCTCGATAACATCACTGTAAGTCTTTGTCGTTAAAACAGAATCCTGTTATCACGTGGTTAGCAACAGTCATCAGTAATTCTAGAGATGTCGCGGGGAGTTCAAGTTCGTAGTTTCACCTTGGACATCTTTTGTTATCCTTCACCTACTTGTTGTTAGAGCGGAATTAAATTCGCTGGACGTGACATACACGCGAAAGAGGATTTAGCATAAGTTACAATGGAATTTTCTTAATGCAATTGTAGAAACTTTGGTTTCGTCATTTTGAAATAATTAAGTTCACTTTCTTGTAGATTATTAAATATTCATTTAAATAACCTTGCTGAAATCGTGTATGACGACTATCAGCAATTTATTACCCTTATCTATTGTACTTATCTATTAATTCTTGGAAATCCATTAAAGGAGTATATATCAATAAAGAAACAGGAGGAAGTAACGAATTACTTCATTCATGAGTAATTTCTAACTCAATGGAATATTCAGACGCAACTTTACGTTTATACCTCTGTGATACTTGCATCTTCAGTTGCTTGCAAAATAAAGGAGATATATAAAAATGGCAATTGATATCGATATTTGAAGGAGAATTTATGAATTTCTCTGTAAATATACCTTCATTTGAATACACTAATGATTAAAAAAGAACAATGAAATTGTGACCATATTTTTAGTCTGTCTTCTGAAAAGTTCATTTCTTTAACAATATAAATAAGAGGGCAACGTAGAACTATAAATATGTTATGTGCTTATCTAAATGCTTTAATATTTAAGTAAGTGGTACAAAAACGATCTCTCTTTATTGAAGTCCGCATTGTTCTTAAGTAAACAATTTGTAAACTTCTACGTATCGCAAAATATATTGCAAAATACAAAATATAACATTTTAACGAGGAAAATATTAATGTTGTATATTGCAATATTACTGAGTATACCTTTATAAAATACAAAAGTATATTTTTATTAAATTATTACTAAATGAACTTATTTAATAGCTTTATCCTTCTAAAATTATAAGAAAATCTTGCTGAACATAATTTTCAGCCTAAATTACGTCTGACACTCAAATTACAATTATTGCACGTAACTTTGATCACATGTGAATTAATATGTGTACTTTTAACGTGTATTAAACACATTTGAATTTATTCCAACTCAATTACCAAAACGGTGAATAAAATTCCTTAAAATCAAATCTACCTTCATAATTTCGTTTATGTTTGTTCGTTATCATAATAATCTCTATAACTAGGTTGCCACTTGTGTATACGAATTTGCGGTTGCCTATTATTCCATCGCATATCGTGGGCCGAGATATGTAACGTTATTGGTCCGTCATTTTGTTTACGATGCGGTTGGACTTCGATGTCTAATTTCGGCATCCGCTGAGGATGTTGGCCTAAAAAAAAGTTGCCGTTAATCACTCGATAAACATTGCCGATCGACAAACTATCTCGTTAACACGTTCACTGTTAAAAGTATAAATGGTAATTAAACAGGAAATGGCACACCTCTTCGATTTCGGTGATCTTCAAATGTGTCGCAGAGGATAACATTCTGAGTAACTTTTCTCTATACGTGTTACCACCGTTCGGCTTTAGTTTTCACAGATATAGGTACACAAAAATATTTTTAACTCTACACATATATTTAATGCTATGTACTTTTCTAAGGGTGTGACTTAGATTTAAGTTAAATTAGGGTGAAGTTTTGGTTGCACTTGCATTTTCTAATAAATAAGATAATATTTACAATTTATAATTATCGAGAAAAGTTTCTCAGAATTTAATACTAGCGTTACCGGCCGCCTGGTGGCGCCATTACATTAACATAACCTATAACCTGTTAATTTTTCTCCTTTATTGACATTAAAACTGATTATCATCGATGAGTTAGGTTCAGATTGGGCTACACAGGAATGCAGTCGCCGTGGGGCGACTGCCGACACCAGAATAACCTAACCTAACCTAAATTTAACGAAAGTTTTTTGCTAATATCTCGGAAACTAAGGCCTAGCGGCGGTTATGTACAATGTATACGGGGAAAAGTTATTCAAAATGTTGTCCTCTATAATATATTTGAAGGTCATTGAAATCGGTAAGGTATGCCTCTTTTTGTATAATTTCATACGAGTTACATGAGATGATCGGTATTTTTGTAACATTACTGCACATTTTGTGCGTTATTATACTTTTTAATGTATCGATCATTATTCTAGAATGGATACTACAGTGGCTCTCATTAATATTCGGACAATCTTTAGAACAGTATTACTTTTTTAAAATTGGACATAGCGACTCGAGTTTTTTTTTTTAGAAGTTAGAAAGAAGTTAGCATCGAAATCGAATAACATTGCTATGAGCTACGAATGGTTAAAAATTGTAAAAATGACTATTTGTCACGACTTTCTGCCTATTAGTAATAAATCTGAAGATTCTTACATCTTTCGATGCCTACCGCTTGTTTCTCCATCGACCAATTTCTATTAAATTTTCAGCATGTGTATAATTGACATAAATCTACAAAACGTGTGTTTTAAATTTTCATTACAGGCTCCGTTAAAAAAGTTGTCAAAAGTGACCTTTGCCATTTTCTTCGTGATTTCCACCAATTACAATTTTTTCAAAAAATTTTGAACACGTCATCTAGTGTACTAATCCTTCCAACTCCTAAAAAAAAAACTCGAGTCCAGTTTTAAAAACGTTGTACTGTTCTGAAGAGTGTCAGAATATTAATAAGAGTCGCTGTGTATAACTTTTTACGTTACCGTTGTTATTATGATTCGGTCGAATGTTAGTCCAAGTAGGCCGATTGTGTCCCGGAAATCGGATCGAAGTCATTCCATAAGGGAATGCAGTGTTAGTTGAAATCGAAGGAGCTGGAAAATGCAGAGAACCGATAGATGTCGCGATTCCGTGTCCATTTTGTATGCTTCCCGATGCAGAAGCATGCATAGCGGTTGATCCGAGAGCCAACGAAACCGACTGACTTTGTGAAATGCCTCTGAAAATATGTATGTGCATCACTTGTTATTATACAACTCTCTTTTATACAATTATTTATGTAAGAAATTAAATGTTTGTATTTTTAGGTTAGGTCCAGGGCCGCGTTTACCATTAGGCAAAATAAGCATGTACCTAAGGCCAGCATAGAAGTATTCGCCATTACTGTATGAAATAAATAAATTCGCTGGCTTCGACTCCTAAATTTAATTTAAACAATGTAACAGAAATAATACTTTTGTTGTGGACTGCACTATAGTACTTGGGCCCACGCCTATTGGGTCGTGTGGTACATCGTTAGAATGCGTATGAGTAGTGGAGTCCAACGTGGGTAATTATTGCTATCGCAAACGTCTCATTCAAAAAATATGGATTAAAATGTGTAAAGCCGGGGCAGTACTGTAGTATTTGGGCCCATGCCTATTGGGTTATATGACACATCATTGGAAAGCGTACGAATAGAGTAGTCCAAAATGGGTGTCCATTGCTACCGCAAATGTCCCATTCAAAAAATATGGATTAGTAAGTAAATCCGGCACTAGCGTAGACGGCTGCCGAAATATATCTATCCCAAACCTAGCTCAATATGATAACGTAATCTTATACACACCAATGGTGCAGTAATATTTCCAACACACGATTAGTTGTATAAAGTCTCGTCTCAATTCACGTCTAAATATACGCAATGACAAATGTACTTGTAAGTAAAATGATATTTTCGCAGAGAGAATGTATTTTTTTCACCGTATTCTAATTTGACTTATACTTTCTGAATAGGAGTTTTCAACGATGTATCATATGACCCAATAGGCGTGGGCCCAAATACTGCGGCACTGTCAAAAATTGTTCTTAAATAACAGATTAAGAATTATCCGAAGTAAAATTATTTTTTACGAGTCGCGATACGAGGTGTGGCAACAAAGTTTCAAGCTTCGAAAATAATTTTGTTTCCGTCAAAGTAGCCACAATAAATGTAAATACGTATATGTTACTGTAAAAGCCTAAACGCCGGTGAATGTTAACATTTACCAACCAATGTCGGTATAAGCCCGAAATATTATGAAATCAATACTTATTTCATGCTTTTACCGCAATTAATTGGAAAATCTTAAGATTTATACTACTAACTAAGCTGCGGTAAATACCTGAGCGCAGAAGGTTAAGTTAGGTTAGGTTAAAAACGAAAGTATAGGCTAACTTAACCTCAAAATGTCAGAGGCACCGGCGCTAAATCTTAACCTAGATCAATATAAATCAATAAAAGTCCGGAAACACAGATTGTTACGTTCAAATTGTAAGTTTTATCTCGAGTTATTGGTAAATCTTAGAATTCCGGTAATCGGGCTTTTACAGTAGCGTATATAAAATATCTTCCGCTTTGTAGCCTGATCCCCCTTCAACATGTAAGCGAAAGATAAATATTGTCAATCAAGTTAAACGAGTCCGACCTGAAATTGCTTCGTTGTGTATTATGCATCATGACTTTTCCTTACGCTAAGTAATTCTGATGAAAGAATTCTTAAATTGAAAATTACAACGTTGGAACATCCACCGTATTCGTCTGATTTCTGTACGTCCTTATAACTTTTTTTTTTATTTCCTCAATTAAAAGGAAACACGGAAGAGACGCAGTTTCTGAAATTTAAAGTGATGTAACGCGGGCATTAAAACAAATGGCAGGAAGTGAATATATACTGAGTGTCCTAGAATTTTCCCGCCAAACATTGTTGGAATCTCTATTTCTGATTGCAACATTATTAGAAGCGTTATTTCGAACGCAAACATTATTACAAGCACTACGCTTGAATGCAACATTGTTACAAGCGTCATTCTCGCTTGTAACACCGTTAACTCGCATTATTTTCGAGTGCACATTGTGGACGAAAAACGCACGTCGATGCGCGGTGCGCCGTGTATAGATCACACATGGGCATCTCGTGGCCCGCGATCCGTCCCCGCGAAGTCTTTAAATCCGACAAGGACTTAACAGAGAAAGTAGTAAATAAGTAATATTTACGTTATTTTAGTTAGAAACATATCATTTACTGTTAGCATAAAAAAGAATAATTTACATTCATTTGTTAATAATTAAACAAATAAATGTAAATATTGTGGCAAAAATATTTCGAGTAACGTCTTTTTTACTTGCCCGTAAAGAAGACTACAGAAATTTTTTTCATCTCATTTTTGGTTACATTATACTTTTTCCTTAGTTTAATTGGTAACAAATGAATGTGAATCATTTTTCTTTATACTAATAGTAAATTTATGTTTCCAAATAAAATAACGTAAATATTATTTATTTACTACCTTCCTCGTTGAAATTATACAACGCCAAATAAATTCTAATGAGATGTACGGAGACTTTTTTGACTGAAAATGAGTGTACTGTATTTATACATTGCATTATAGCAGGCATGGGCAACATTTCCTGGTTCTAGGGCCAAATTGTCATTCTCTCTCCGAGTCAAGGGCCAAACTAAATGGGTTTTCGCGTGTGTTTTTGTGTATCGATATATTAATATCTTCAATGTAATGTTGTATGTCATTATGTGTTCGATACAACTTTGGCTAGATATTAAATAAAAAGGGCTCGTATATTAAATAAAATTATAAAATTAAACACGATACCAATCAGTACATAGAGGGTCGGATTTAAAGACTTCGCGGGGACGGACCGCGGGCCAAACTAAAAGAAGTCGCGGGCCGCGAGTTGCCCACATGTGCATTATAGTAACCGCATGTCTGTTACCGTTCCCTTCGATGTCGCATTTTTGTTATAACTCTTTAATAAAGTACTCATGAACCTATGTTTATACATCTTTTTTCCTATTTTTATTTTTAAAACATGTTGGCACCGTTTGGCGGCAAAACCCTGAGACACCCTGTATAATACCAGAAATGTTACGAGCAATGGATGCGAAGATGAAATGCGCGTGTATGCAGACTCGATGAGACTATTCTGATGGCGATGGCCTCACAGCTGTTCAATTTTTCAAATAAAATATTTAAATGATGTGTTTTCGAAATTTTATTGTTACAATTTCTGCTTTAATCAGATCCTTATGAATTTCATAATGAATCATCTAACAAATAAAAATGCCAGAAACCTTTTTCATATCAATACGGTATATTACAGCACTTGCTCGACGGTAACTTGATAAATAAAAAATTTCATGCAAACAATTTGAAACTATTGAAATAAATAACTTATTTCGTATATTTTTTTAAATGGAAGGTGTGCGATATTTTTTGCCACTCCAATAATCAAACGATCTTTAACACTTTATCCTCGAGCATTTTATATATGAGCCGTTTTTTTTTTTTAAATGGTGTAAGTCCATTTATTTTTATATTGAGCTATTTAAGGAATTAGTTAAAAAATATTGGCAAACGTTAATAATTTCGACTAATCTTTCTAAAATTGTAAACATTGTGCCGCCACGGGGGGCCACGCACTTAGGCCTGGCGACTCTTGGCCTTCTTCGTCCTCGAGGACAAAAGTATTGCCTCGGAAATGCAGGCCCGCGCCCCCACTTCCTGGGACTGTCCCAGGGAAAAGGGGCTACTTAACACGTTAAACGCCACGCCGGTCCCTAGGGACCGGCCGTAGACTTTCCGTTCACGCCCAGCCGGCCCCCAGGGACCGGCCGCCGATTTTTGGTTCATGCTACACCGCCGCGCGCATCGGTCCTTGCGTTCTGATTGTGAGACAAAACATTTTGTTTAGGCGACATCGATTTTTGTTCAATCGAAGCTTTCAGAACAGGAATATAACATTTTAACAAAAGTTAAGAAGCAGTTTTCACGTCGAGTGTGACGTGAACGGAAAGGCAAGCAAAACAGGCTGGGCGTTTAACGTGTTAAGGGAGCCCCGAAAAAGGCACGAGGCTTTTTGTCGTAGACTCTCTTTCTACGTGCATCGTGCTGCCTATACATTTTAAAATTAGTTTAAGCGTTATCGGTTAAATGAATAAATATATTTTTGTTAAATTATTTTTGTTATTTTATACCACGTCACTTCCAGAACATGTTAAATTTTATTATGTGATAATTATTAATATTGCTAAAGGAAAACAAGGTGTTTTTAGCTATAAGTGGAAAGCATTTATGCAACAACATTTAACAGTTAAACTTCTTTTGATGAGTTCACGAGGATATTGTAGTGCGTTAAATTTGTTATCATAAATATGAAAAGAAGTCATTCGTGTTTAGCTGAAACTAGCCTTAACTCGCTTATTTCAAAATTGGACTTATACCACTTTAAAAAAAACCGGCTCATATGGACCTACTTCGTAAAAGTTTGTAAAAATAGTAGTTATTCGTATCTGTGTATAATATTGACAACATAGTTTACACAAGACAGAGTACTCCTTTCTAAAATTAGTTAAATTAATTTTTCCGTAAAGTAAACCTACTTGATAACGAAATAATTCCAGCGAAATCTAGGCAATTACGACAGGTTTCCCAGATTCCTGTAATTTAAAAACGTACCCATTCGGCTGGAACAACGGACGATTAAAGTTGTTTTCAGAGTAGCTGATGCCGTCGGGTGCTACTTGAAAGCCCAAAGTCTGTGCATTGTTCATTGTGTTCACATTGATATTTGTCGTGATTGGAATAGACAACGATCGTTCATATTTCGTGTCGGCTGTTTTGATAACTTGCTCCGGTATAAGTTCCGGTGGCGTGTTCCATCGTCGTTCGTCTACTTCAGTGAGAAGAACGCGATCATCTACGGAATAATACTTTTTCTCGTGACATTCTTGAAATAGAAAATCTTCCTCGATTACACTTCTATTCGCAATTCTCGACCCAAATTGGGAGTGAATATTGCTACAATTCTTTGGTAAGTTAAGAATGCAAAAGAGCTGCATCAACGATAAACAGGTAAAAGAAAAGCTCCATAATCACGAAGAAACGAAATTCACACCACCTTCGAACTGCCATGAAACAACGTTTAACGATATCAGTACACTGTCGCAAGACATTGTAAGTCTTTTTCTACAAGGTTAGTACGTACTATTAACAACTTCTTTTTAAATAAATCGTAACACTGAAAATTAATAACAACTTTTTGAGTAACGTACGATCATTTTGAAACGAAAGTGCAATTTTTACCTGCCCACACAACTAACAACACGAAACATAACAGCACGATATAAAAGACGTTCCCCGCCATGTCTGGACGCATTCTAACCTCTGGCTGACTGTTCTCCGCCCTTTTTCAATAAGTATGAACGACCTTAAAATCCTTATTGATATTCGTAGTCTGTCCGCTCGCGTAATACTCTTCGACGAATAGAGTGACAATCGCGCGATGACTCGTGTCGTGCGTTGCGTCGCGTTCCAAATGGGCGAACTCAAGTTTGCACACTGTTCCCCACCAAACTAATTTTGGGCAACTTATTTGAGTGGTGGAGTAAGCGGTAGATCATATGGTAATACACGATCGTTTCGAACGTTCGACGATTTGACTGTTGTATCATGTTGTCTCGATTGGTCGACGAACTGAATAACGAATGATTTTGTACAGTATATCGTCTCGAATGATAGACGATTGCGGAAACTCTGAGGACTCGAAAGAACCGAGAACTCCAAAGAACCTACTACTAGTGTGGGTCGTCCTTAGAAGGACTCAGGGTGCCTCAAGCTTTGTAGTAGCTTATCCCCTATCAGACCAGGTTTCTACTTTCCATCGAAACCACCAACCGAAGAACAAGCCGGAGAATGAGCGAGGACGCCCGACCATGCTTTAACCCAAACTTGGCGGTAAGGATTTTTGCTGTTGAAGAACCTACTACTAGTGTGGGTCGTCCTTAGAAGGACTCAGGGTGCCTCAAGCTTTGTAGTAGCTATCCCCTATCAGACCAGGTTTCTAGTTTCCATCGAAACCACCAACCGAAGAACAAGCGAGGACGCCCGGCCATGCTTGAACCTCAAATTTGGCGGTAAGGATTTTTGCTGTTGGACTTTTTCAATTTCTACACGTTAGTAAGGATGGAACTAACGTCTGTGTGAAATTTCAGCCCGATAAAACCAGCAGCACGGCTTTTCCAGAGACGAATGTGGAGCGGCCACCCATCTTCTTACGGAACGCCGCCCAGTGCATCTTGACTTCGGTGATCGAACGGGAACCTATAGACATGCACGGCTATGGCCCCTGATAACTCCAAAGAACCTAGTAACCCGAAGAAACCAAGTAGCTCGAATTGTTTCGAGCGGCTCTGGACCGAACTAAGTGCTATAGAACTTGTAAGATTTCGTGTACAAAATTTAGTCAAGTAAAATGATTATTTTTTTATTTAAATTACTAAACATCGGTTCAAATTTCGAGCTACTCGAATGTTCGTGTATGCCCCAGTTTTTACTAGCATTACCGGTTATGTCCTTTAGCAGCTTGCTCGGTCGCTGTTAAAGGTTGTGACACGCTGATTGGTCACAAGAAACAATTCTAATTGCCAATCAGCGTGTCTAACACCCTTAGCGAGCTGTTTTCCTTTTTTTACATGCTCGGACGTGCGATGTACCAAAAGCTTGGCAACGGTCTGGAATTTCCGCCAGGCCTTGACCCAACTGTTCTGCGCATCGTTAGAACTCGATGTCGAGTTGACCCTTAGGAAATTTCCATTTCATAATACGTTTCGGCTATTGAGAAGAAAGAAAGTCAACTCTACTTATTTAAAGAATAAGGTAACGCTTAACACTGAGCCTCGTGGTACCTCATTTTTAGTTGTGTATATGTTCTGGACATATGGTTGCTTTTCTTTTATCCGTGTTGTTTTAAGGAAGTTTTCAACGAACGTGCATATAGTACCTGTGATGCTATGGCTTTTTAAATAATGCGATGCCTCCATACCATGTCATAAGCTTTTTCAGTGTCCATACATGTACCAATGGTGTGTTGCTTGTTAGCAGAAGCGTCGCTTGTATTCGTCTCGAGGTTGACGAGTTGATCCAAAGTGAAGTGAAATTTCTTACAGTCGTTCTGAGACGATGATATTAAAGTGTAATTTTAATTTTTAACAAGTTTTTCCATCAATTTGCACGTTGTACTTCTTAATGCAATAGGTAATTCGAAGGATTAGTAAGGTCTGTCTTTAGTTTAAAAATAGGTATGATAGGTAGGATTCCTTCGTTCCATTGATCAGGAAATGCACCGTATTTATATTACATAACATAAATAAGTATGTCTTTCCGATGAATGGAAGATTAGCTGGAAGTAAATTGGGAATTCCGTCCTGGCCAGGGGAGGAGATTTTGCAATTTTTTAGCGCTACTTCCAGGTCTTCCAGTGGCAAAAGATTGTTTTGCTAGAGTTGGAGTTACCGTTTGCGGTTATTCCTGTTCGATTTGATATGTAATCAACGAAGTTCTTATCATAATTACCGTCACTTGATTTCATTTGGAAATTGCATGCAAGAAGGTTGGCGATTTCCTCTTGGTCAGTAGTACATAGCCGGATTTGCTCCAGTTTTTAAGGCGTCCGGGGGGATTTTCTGTAGTGATCCGGGTTTTCCGATGTTCGTTTGCAACGCACCTGTTTTTCTAGGAGCGATTTTCAAGTGTTGCGTTCGCATCAGAAGCAGTATAAATGCAAACGCAAGAAAGAAGCTTTTATCTTGGAATATCGTATTGGAATCCGGGGAGGAAAGTGGACACCCGATTATATTTTACCGATATAACGTTTATTTCGGAAGAGAACTTCACGAAGAGAAGAGAACGTTGGTTTCTTGCTGCTGTGTACTAGAACGACCACTCTTAACTATACTCGCTTGCTTTCTGTAATGATGCTCTGAGGGATTTTTCGAGTATACTTATAAGGAAGGGATTTGGAGGAGAAGGTGAACTTGGTTCTGGTGACGAATTGCTGGACAGGACCTTGAAGGGACAGTCAGCGAGTCGATGAGTAACTTGTGTTCGACGTTACAGGGTTCATCTTTAGAGTGACTTCGTGACTCAATGTCAATAGGCAGTTGGTTATCCAACAATCGCAATTAATCTAAAAAATAGAACTGTCCGGGTTTCAGTCAGAAAATTCCGAGGTTTTAATGCTCTCTATTCTAGATTTGTGAGTTTATAAATGGCAACCATAGTGGTACATTAGTGGTACCATAGTGGTCAAATTTTGAGGTATACTCTTTAATTACTTTATTTTTATATATCTTTCACAAAACCTTGAAGTTTAACTTGTCGCTAAATTCAAATCTAATTTAAATTGCAACATTGTAATCGTACCTTAACACGTTAAGCGCCATGTCAGTCACTATGCCTTCCGTTCAGGCCGCGTCAGTCACCGGTGACTGACAGTATACTTTTCGTTAACCGTCTTCTGTTTATAGTTTGCATGGCCCACTTGACGGCCAAGTGTGGCCTGAACGGAACGGTAAGCAAAACAGGCTGGGCGTTTAACGTGTCAAGATCCTTTCGTATAACCTCAGAATAACGCGTGCGTCATTGGATATCTACGAAGTGTCGAATGTTCGAGCGTTTAACCATTAAAACATACGGTAAATCATAAGATAATCGGTGTTACGTTTACTAATAAAATGATGCAAATGTGTTTCTCGGTTTCCAGCCGATTACGCGAATGATTCACGATGCTCGTTTTTTAAGCGCACGTCTGGCTAATGGACGTTGGCGATCAAGTTATGTATGTGCATTCTTAGAATATTAAAAACGTCATAAGTAACAAATCGCGTGAGACACCCTGCACATAGGGACTCGTATCTTTCGGACGCCTTACTTCCGTGAAAAACGACCCTCATTTTCAGCTTCAACAATCTTAAAAACCCTTAAAAAGTCTCCTTCTAGCCGAGTGTTTTGCAGTCCGGATACCATACATACGTCAGCCTTTTTTAAAGAATTTAAAAGCAGCTGTACCGGATGTGTGAATGGCCAATGCAAACGAAATTTTTCGCAACCTAGCGGATCTAAACTCCTAAAATCACGGATCGTGGCGCCGTCACGGAACGATTTGAATGGACGGTGGGTGCCCTTAAAAGAGAAAAAAAAAAAAACAGGAAACGAAACCAGAGACAAAAGAAATTTCCACATAAAGTGTGTTATCGGCTGCGACGGATCGTAATCATTGTTATATAAGAGGCGTAAAACAATAAGCGCGCGGACGTTGTTTCAGTGATTCACCGAGCCGGACCAGAGGCAGGTTACACGTCTTGACATTGAACCCAAGAGGCAGATGTACCTTGGCTTCGAACACAATGGATACCTCTGCAAAAGAGAACAAGCCAGCTGTCCAAAGTATCCGCAGATTAATGCGCAGAAGGTAATCAACTTTCGCGATTGGGTATTCCCCGGCGGCGTCACTCGATTCTACACAGCTAAGCAGCTAAGAAAAGTCTATCCAGCAAACTAAGTACGACGATAATGGATGTACACAGATCGTTCGTTCTGCTTAGACTTTCTTAACCTGTCAACGTGATTTTCTAGACGAAAATGAAATTTCTGCGATGTATGTACAATTACTCCAAAAAATATTCGGATAGAGATGTATTTTGGTCAATTGTGAAAGGATTGTGTCGATGATTTTTCGTTATGAAACATTTATCGTGCTTTAGCATTACGTATTGTTAGCTTAGTGCAGTTTCGTATGCGACACTGTAATACAAATTAAGCTTAATTACATGTCCTTTGGGCACTTGTTAGCAAAAATGAATATGCTGAATATATCAAATATTTTTCATATTCTGAATATTTCTGCTTGGGCCGTGTTTAATGGTTGCTTCGTTAATGTCCGAATAGTTTTAGGAGACGCTGTGTGTTCGATTAGAAATCTGCACAATTTTTAACCAGTTACTTTAGTCTCGTTCCTGCAAATATGAGTATGACGTATCTTACGTTGAATACCGACGTAACAGTACAATTAAGAGTGAGACATCCTTTGAGAAATAAACTGCTACATACTACGTTTCAAAGTATTGATCAATCCAAGGAGAAGGTTAAAGAATTCTTTCGTTCGCGATAGAAATAAAAGAAATTGTGATTTCAAACGGCTATTGAACGATATTGTAGAAATGCCAGTGTCTTCTGAAAACTGGCCAAAAGTTTGGAATCACCGAGCATTGCAATTTACAGAAAAATTTCCAGAAAAAATTCAGCGACTTTGAGAATTTTTTATCATTCGAATCAATTGATATGAGATAAATTGATAAATGTAGAATT